AGCCACTGTGGAGTTTTTTTTTGGGCCCAGAGCAAAAAAAAACTTTTTTTTTTTTTTTTTTTTTTTTTTAAATGACTGCTTCATTACAGAAAAATAGATTTTCTTCTTGCATATGGGGGGAGAAGAGGATCAGAAAACGGTGTAGGAGGAAGAAGAGGGCAAAAAAGGGCACTGCAAAGATTAAATGTGTTTTTAAACTACCACAAAAAGGATGGCACATTGCCGAGAACAATAGCTTTTCACACAAAATGAGGGAATAGTGCTGCTGTGGCCTGCCTACAATACGCTGCTACCCTGATCACCATTGCTATAGTTCATACGTATGGCGCTTGTAGGGCCGCAGATGCACCCTGACAGTTACACAACTTGACAAATACGACACTTTTTAAAAACGTTATTCATTACAGAATGAGACACCTCTTAAAATTAACGAGCTTCAAAATACCTTGGACCTGCATACCCTGCAAATGAAAACTGAGCTGTAATGTACCACTTTTCCACCACCACCAGCAGCTAGTGTCCAGAGCTCCTACATCACTTAGTACCTTCAGGCTCTTGGGCTGCTGCCGGACCTCCATGACGTGCTTACGCCTCAGCTCCCGCTCCCGGCGCTTGTTGTATTCCAGCTGGTTGGTGAGCTCGGTCTGGTGCTGGAGCCGGATCAGCTCACAGCGCATCTTCTGGATGGTACTGAGATGGCGGAACTCCAGCTCCTGCATGGACTCGTGCTGACGCAGCAGCATGGCGTGCTCCAGGTCCTTCTGCGTCTGCCTTTTGTTTAACTCCTAACAGGAGGACAGAGGGAATTATTAGATTCTTTGTACTTACTTGGATTTCCATTCACAGCCTGACATTTCACCTTGTTCACAAGGGCATTTCTCTCTTTCCAAGGCATTTGAGGACAGAGCAGAGAGTTTCTACATCTTATCAGAAGCAGACAGCACCACCACCGGTAATTTTTCCTTCCTCATTTCACTTTTCTTCTTCCTGTTCTAGATGCTCAACAGGATTCACAGTAAGCATTTTCTAGAAAGGACTGTAATTGTTGTGTCTGTTGACTTTTTGGATCTAACAATTCTCCCACAATAGGGCACTAATATGAACATTTGATTCCGCATGATCCCCTAAATGCCATAGGGATTACCAGACGGCATTGCAAAACATATCGAACCACTAGTTTACCAAAAAACTTCAGATGTGGTAATTACCACTTCAGTGAGACTGGAGTTGGATGGCAGGTGCTCCTGCGAGATACATTTCACACAGGTGGTTCCAGGTCTCATCTCTGCTTATTCTCTTACCTCCCGAACCAGGTCCTGCTCCAGATTATGGCGGCCAAGGAGCATCCGTCTCTTAAAGCGGCGACACTCCAGCTCCAAGTACTGCCTCTGACGCCTCAGTAAGTTGGCTTCTTCCTCTGCCTGGAAATGCTGGATGTTCTCCTTCTGCTTGGAGAGCCACTCCTGCTTCTCCTTCTTTGGAGTGCTCTGGTTTTCATTCAGCTCCTAATAACAGCAAGGTAATTAACTGTGGAATAGTCACATTAAGCTCCTTGGCCCTGAACAACCGGATAGATTTGACTAATAAACTACATTTCAGACAAAGCCATACCACCTTGTCTTCTCATGGCTGGGACCACCCCAGCCTCTGCCAAAACACATCATATCACCTATCAGAGGGAACACCAGGAGACAATTCACAACGGAGCACATTTAACGACAACTTTTTTTTGCATTGGCCATTTTAACCCATCAAAATGCTGGTTCCCGTCCACAGTTTCCAGACATATATATTAGCTCAAAACATAAAAATGATGGTTTGCCACTGAAAACAAAGACACTTGGAGGTCCTGCCATACTGCCTGACAAATGTTTTTACAGGCTCCCAAGGGCTGAGAAGAGAAGGAAAACGTTGTTATCCTGTCAAGCATTGTTATCCTATCTCATTTACAAACGTTGTTCATACAAAACTCCAGCCACATGAAGCACATCAGAAAATTTGTGTCTTGCTTGATCAGAACATGCACACGCTTTATAAGTAACTCGTCAAGGCAGGGCTGCTCACTGAGACTCCATAACTTACAAAACCAATATAAAGTTCACAGGTGAAACATAAGGCCACAGTTTCCACATTTGTATTAAATTCAATATACAGCTTGAAGCACCTTTGGCAAAAGACTCTGCTTGCTTGAACTGCATACTAGAGATGCCCATACAGCAACTAAACTTGTGATAGATTTCAACTTAAGTACGAGACAGAACTCCTCTGTATTTCATCAGTGTTTCTTGGTACTCTGTGATCTACTGTCCACTTAGAAAAAGATTCTATGTTATTATAAAGAGCCCACGCTACTAGTTTTTCTTAGATCTTTCTTGGCTCTGCTGCTCTTTAGCCTTTTTTTCTCCTGGGAAATGTCTATGTTTGGGAATATTCCCCTTTGGAGCAACTTCCAAAGTTGTGTCACACGAGTTGATGGTTGAGCACTAAATGGTTCTTTCAAAAAAATTATTTATAGGGCTTACGGTTTCAGCCACTCCACAAAAAGAATGAGGAAGTTTGATTCTACAGTTTCTCTGCATTTCACAAAGGTCATGATTTTCACTACAATACAGTGATTATTAAACTATTACACAGCTTTCTCCATTAAAATTAAAGTGTCTTACAGATAGTTTCATTAAAAAAAGAAATCTGCAGGTCATCTTTCCTGCTCTGTTTTCTTGCTGCTGCTACAGAAATATCATTTAAGTGATAAGAAACTTCACTAACTGCTCAGTGCATGGTCAATATCTGCAGCAACAAGGTACAAGAAAAATCCTCATGACCTTTCTTAAACTATCTTTTTTCATTCCTTAGTATTGCCAATTCTGCATGTTTCTGGCTAAGAAGTAATATTAAACAATGGAGAAGTTTGTACTTTCACAAGATAAACATATAGGTGCCAATATATAAATAAACTCTCTTACTCTAATGTCAAAGACATGAAACAAATACAGTACATATAGGACTCTGCTCATGAAATGCAGAACTTGCTGCAATCCAGCGGAAGATCTCTTGCGCACAGTGGCACTTCTATTTCCGAATATTCACTGTTCTCACACTGTATCCTACACTGTACTACATTCACATTTCCCATTACAGATGAGTTACCTCTTTCAGCTGCTCTTTACGGAGTTTATATTCTCTCTTCTGGGACTCCAGGAAACTGTTCAATTCTTTTTTCTGTTGGGCCTGAATATGCTGTTGAAATTTCTTTTCTTCATTGGCCATCACTTTAGCCTACAGCAAATCCAGCAGCAAATCAGTTTAATCCTTCGGGACTCACAGCTCATGTTCCATTTCAGCCCCAAGACCAAGAACTCATGGTACAGTCACCACGATACTCACCACGACTGAGTAAGCGCAAGTCTCAGGGGCTTGCCCTCACCCTCTTCTCATTTCACCCCCACCATCAACGCACCCAGCAGCAGTCCTTTTTCAGCGCCTCATTTCCTCAGCCCTATTGTTCAGTTAGTCTTGTCTAACAAAGTCAACACCTTATGATAAACTATAGCCTTAGCTCTCCACCGAGAGATCCAAGATGAACAAAGAATCAATAATAATTGCTGTAGGCGGCACCACTTCATTATCAATTATTTAAAAGCATAAAAACCCCCATATCCATAAGCAACTAGATGGTGAACATATAAGCATAGCGGGCACATTTCTCTGCAGGCTAATCTGCCTCCGTAACACTTGATGGCAGTCAGTTATTGACAGCACATACGTGGCAAAAGAAAGGAAAACCCTTACGGTATTTTTTCTGGGGTCAGTATACTAACATTTAGTATAACGCACTGTGATGAAGGACATACCTTTCCTCTAGTTACATAAACCCCTTAGTGTAAGGAGGTGATGTATTAGCCTTTTTCTAATTAGCAATTTGCTTGGCTCCTGAAAACAGACTACAATGTCATGCCTTCATCAGTGAGGGGAAGCGGACAATTCAATGTAATTAACAAATAGAGACTGGTCTGCTAAACCGTAATCTCCTACCTCTTTTTCCATGGCTGCTTGGTGCTTTTTAATTAGCTTTTCCATTTCTGCAGCAAAATTGTTACGCTGTGTTTCAAGATCTTTGTCCAACCTGAGGCGATGCTCGTCCATCTCTGCCTTCAGTTTATTCTCTAATGCCATCAGTTGCTTCTGGTGTTGCCGTCTCATACGTTTATAGCCAGACATCTGCTCTCGAAGTTCAGAGTCTTGTTCATGTTCCTGCATTTGCCTTGTCACCTAGGAAGGTAACCACATCGGGCCAAAAGTAAGTTAATGCTTCTTAGTCTGCTTTTCAGCAGTCTTCAAACCACAAAAGAAAACTGTTCAGTAAAGAAATATGATTTTGTTGTGAAGAAAAGCACACATCCTAATGGCATCAGAGCAGATTAAAAACTAAATTCTGCTGCGGAAGATAAGCTCACAAGGGCTCCAGCAAAAAAACTGTACAATTGTTATAAAGCTGGTACTAAATAATGTCTTTTTAGCCCACTGTAGTGAGTGTGCATATATATACACACAAATATACATAATATGCGTATGAAAAGAAAAGCCAGCTTATAATAATAAGCAGTTTCCTGCATTCTGCTAGGCATATTGGTTTTGAAAATATCTAATATACACAAATTACATTTGCCCAGGTGTCGCATTTAAGCTTTTATTAACTTACATTAAAATATTTCAGTGATAATATCTCAGTTAACGAGGATAGCTCATATTCTGATGAAATCCTAACAGCTCTAAGTAGTTTCATAGCCTTATGTTCAAAGGCATCCCTCCCTATACAACTTCATCAAAACAAAAACCTTAACGTACCAGCGATGCTGTGCGTATAGTAGCAAAGTGCTCTCGATTGCGATAATGAGACTTGTGGCGAGATACTTGGGGAGGAGACTGGGGTTCTGATGCTCTTGTTCGAGGATCTGATTCCTCTCTGTAGTTTTCTTCCTCCTTATCAGCAAATATTAATGTGAGAGAATAGAGAATCTCTGTTACTAAAGGTTTTTATTTTGGTCTGGTTCCAAAGAGATTGAAACGGAAGAAAAAACGTTTTTACATTCAGCAGCCCTGAAAGATCCTCTTGCCAAGATGCTGGATAAAGGAATATACTGCAACAAGAGCTCTGATCTGCTATCCTTGCTTTTGGAAGTTTCATTGTGCATTTTTATTACTAGGAGGAAAATTACTAATTAAAACTGAAAATGAGAAAAATAAATGGAAAACTGAAAACTGAGTTAAACAGTTTACTTCAACAAAACATAAAAGCTATAAAGTAGATTATATCAAGTCTGAAAGAAAAAAAAAAAAAAAAAAAACTTTGTAAACCTGAAAGACAGAGAAGATTTCCATTACACCCACTACAGAAATACCTCAAAGCAAATTTTAAAATTTGTCATGGTGTATTCCACATTCTTATTTTGAGTTTGTCATTCATCACAGAGCGATTAGTAGTTAGATATGATATACTAATTAACTCCCTGAGGAAATATCTGCGTCTTTGTTGCGTATCTGGGCAAAGAACAAAACATTCTAACCACACCTGTCATTAGCTAGGGAAGCGTTACTGGTTTGAGAGAAGGTGGGATAACCCCTCTGCAGCAAGAGCAGCACGGTTCAGAGGGACGCTCCCCAGTTTATCCTTCGTCGTGCAGAGGTAAAGCGGGTGAAGTGGTTTCCCAGCTTGCCATGGCCAGAGTGCTGCCTTTCTTTTTCTGTGCATCTTTGTTCATTAACCAAATATTCCAATCAAGTGCTGGGAAGCTGGGTGCTTCAGGAGCAGATTTCAATTACTACTGAGGGTCTTATGTTTAAGAATTCACTAACTAGGAGGTAAAAAATGGGAACTCTCACATCCTTTTGTCCCACGAAGCAGTGCTCTGCAACTTAAGGGCATTCACTAAATAACCCTATTCACAAGCTGCCATTCCAGCTCCTCACGGTAAAGCAAACTGGTTTTGAAACAATGCAATTGGTAAAATAATTTTCAGTGAATCAACAGAAATAAACGATTTTTACAGCAACCTTCCAAAGTTTCCAGCGCACATTAATATACTGGGACACAATATTAGAACCTGCAGATAATGATTTAGGATAGGAAGCACTCAACTTTTAGTCATTCTGCCAACCAAATCCTCTCCCATTTTACACCTTCAAAGTTATCCAGTAAAAATCCAACGCTTACCGGCTTTAAATGAATGACAGAGCTATTTGACATCACGGTGTGGTCCCCCTCCATCATATCCAGCTCGCTCTTATCATCCGAGGCATCTGGAAGACTGTTAACACTACTGCTTTGGCTACTGGCACTGATAGACATACTAGGAATGGACTGATTACTTCCGACACTGTTCACTGTTCCTGTCCTGCCGACACCATGATCTTGTTCCTAGGAGAAAGGAATTATTAAGAAAATCCAAATCCATCACAGCTGTATCTATGGACATTACCAAATGAAATGTTCATTCCATTCCTTTCTAAAGGCATCTACGTGCCATGTCACGGCAGTTCCCACCCTCCAGGCATCGCCATGAAACATTTCTCTTGTCGGATGCTGGGGAGAGAAAGAATCAACCTTGTCAAGATTAACTGGCTGATGTCAGATTCTTTTCAACAGCGAGCCTGTTAACAAGCTGAACTCTATCATGTATCAGCAACAGTGTGTCACCAGAAACTGTTCTGACACCAGCATCATCTAAGTGCTCAGCTGGGACCCTGCACCTCGCACGGTTCCTTTGGGTACATGAGAGAACTGAAATCCAGAGAGTCTCAATTTCTGCATGGTAATTGCAGCATGCAACCCAAAAAACATAATTTCCGTGACGACTTTTTTCTTTTTTTTTTTTTTTTTTTGTTTAAACCAAGTATAAATATCTATGTCTTAGACTCAGAATAACATTCTCCAGACAAAACTGGAAGACTGTCAAGGGCCTTGTACTTATGGTCGAAATAGAGGTTAACTGTGGTTGCTGAAAGACTCCTCATGAAGCCTTATAAACAGGCAAAGCAAGCTAGGATTTACAGAACTGGAAGCTAACTGTTCAAGCATGAACACATGGCACAGCTTCTTGCCAGCACTAGGCATCTACCCTGTTTGTCCTTGTTTGTGCCTTGAGGTAGCTTTATTCCAAGCACAGAAAGGAAGACAGAGTTTACAGCCAGGTGTGTAAACAGCCTCCATTCGTTTTAACAATATCTGAGTTGTGGTTATTTAAACGACAGCACCATTTTCTGGTTCAGTGATGAAATCCAAAGTTTCTCTCACCTCCTCCTCCTCCTGTGTTTCGACTGCAGGGCCATTGTGTGCCTCCTGGAAGAGGAGCTTCTTCATTTTACGATACTGCAGGTTGTCCAGTTCTCTCACTGCATCCTTTGTTCTCTGAATCAAGTCTATTAACACTGTTTCGGGCCGCTCCCGAAGAACAAACATGTGCTGTAGAACACATAAATAGGTGAGTGACCTCTAATGCCTCCAGTGCACATGCTTTGAGGATAAAATTATGAGCTCTAGTTGGGTTTGTTCGCCCTCTTCCCTGCACAGGAGGAGAATGCCTTCACAGCTTACACTGGCACTATTTTGAGACTTCGTGATCCAGACAGATTTCAGAATGATTGCTTTCTGATGGAAGACATCCACCAAAAAGTAAAGATGTAAAAAAACCCCAGAAACGGTATTCCATGTACCATGAAAACAGGCTCAGTTTAAACCTAGACTTCTTTGGATGTTGGGGTATTTAAAGACGTTATCTACTTGTGCTTTACAGGGGGAAGAGCAACAATTAAAACATATAAATGCTAAAGGTGTTAGACTGGTTAAGTATCTCTAACCAAATGTTAATTAACTCATCAGCTAACTCTCACTATAAAACCCTTTTCCTTTTTTAGAAAAGCTTGAGAATCAAATATTTGGCATACAGCTCTGAGTCATAAAATAGGATGTGAACGTTCAATCCCAGCCCTAGAACAGTTAGCCATGTTATGCTCTTTTTTTTTTTTTTTTAAATATTCACTGCATTTCACTGCAAAGGTGGCTACATTTTGCCAATAGGTAAAACAAGTCCTGTCTATGTATGTCAGAAGCAGCTTTTGCAGTCTCCAGATGAAATGTGCTGTGCAAGCATGAGTCATTATTAACACCACCTCTAGTTTCATTTTGTTCCTTTGGAGAACTGCATTGCCATTTCCAACATGTCACATTCCCTACCTGTCCCTGTTAAGTGGCATGCAGCTGTTTCAGACTATAGATAAGGAAGGAATACATTCACAAACGTTTCATTTCCATCAATGTTCTCTTTAATTGCAGTGCATTGCTCAAAATAAAACCAATCCGCAGAATTCTGAAATGGCAGGACTACACACCCACACTGAAACCTTTACTGGATAATTGCATTTACTTTCTGAATACACAGTTTTTAAAGAGGCAAAAGTCCTCAGAACCATTTCAGTAAAAACATGCAAAAAGGTGATGATAAAACCTTCATAAATAGCATCCATTTCCCTGCAATGCAAAATTTTGGAAAACCGCTGTTTAGCAAAACAGGGCTGGGATAAAAATCCCCCAAAATAATGTCACGAACACTGTCAAGAGAATGACAAGTTCGCAAAATTCTGAACGCCACCTGATGCCACAAAGGAAATCCATCAAAGTCAGACTTAAAATAAAGCAGCTCTAACACCTAACTTCTACGTGAGTTACGTTCGCTTAGGAACACGTCAGCTTTTTGCAACAATCTACCACATTGGCTTTGTTTCCAGACTAGAGCAAGGAAAATCTAGTATCTGCAGCATACAGGAGCACAAATGAAGAAAAAAAAAGGCTAAGAAATAAAGCAGGAGAAAACCTGCAGATGGCTGAGGCTTATTCATGTCAAGGAAAAGCATGGGGAAGAAAACTTGCTTTCCTCTGCCCCCGTTCCCCCAGGGATACTATTAGAATAGCGCATTTCAGTTCTACGTGTAAAGTACATAGGTGATGGGAGAGGATAAAAAGCCTTTAGGGGTACATATAGCATAGAATAAAGAGGGAAGTAATGAAAGGTATTTGTTAACTAATGCATGGCAGCTCTGTCAGGATTAATTATAATCACTGGAAGGATAGACTGAGCTTGAGAAACTGAAACTCTCAACAAGTTGATGGTCATCTAATGTCACTGGCTGGGGCATCCTTTTATGTTGAGAACAAGGCTGGCTTGGAGAGTCACCTGGGGAACTGCCCGAGACACTGCAAAGGGGCAGTACAGCTGGGACCACCACCTCAGTACACTCCACAGCACCCTCAGCTCAAAGGTGTTAGGGATAATGGGCAGAGAGAGCATCGTTAACCGTAACCTAGCACGGTAGGTGAGACAGAAGAGTGTCACAGGGCACAGCCCATTTCTAATACCATGTGGAAAACAAAAAGGACAAGCAAGCCAACCTTCAGAAGCTCCTCTGATGTAGGCCTGTCTTGAGGAATTTTCTGGAGGCAAGAATCTACGAAGTTTCGAAAATAATCAGACCTGTGGCAAGGAAAGAGAAAAAAACCAAACAAACACCTGAGTTAACTCCCCAGTTTAATTTTCAAAGCTCGTTAAGGAAGCAAGACATTCACATTGGGGCACTGCTAGTAGAAAGAGTGGGGATAAACCACAGAGACCCAGTACTTCATAGTACAGCCTCTAACGTCCCTAGTCAAGCCAAAGCCCACCGCTATTAGTGGGCAGATCCCTTTAACCTCAGCTTCCAGACAAAATGTTTCAGCGTAAGAATGCAAAAATATGGGGCAATTCAAGAGGAAGGGAAGTTCCGTGTGAAGGCAGACACCCACGTATCTCAGTGGGAGAGCATCAATCCTGTCAAATTCTATATTGCACAAACTCTTCAAGGTCTAATCAGAGCCCCTGCCCTGTTTCACCTCTGTGCACCAGTGTTTCATCTGCAAACTGTATTAACACCCAATTCCTGAAATGCCTTTGGCCCCTCTGCACAATAGTGTACAAGTTGTGTCTATCTGTCAAAAGTAAGACTTAAGATCATGATTTGCTTAGTAACATCTCTCCCTCTGCAAGCTGAAATTCTGTATTTTGCCCTTTCTTTCCCTGAGCACAGGTTTTCAGAAGGGCAGGATTATACCCTGAAAACAGCAGCACATCAGTTGTACAGGTTTTATTTCTTTCCTCCCCCACCGCTCCTCCCCTCCCATCATGTAATGGTTTTTTTTTGCTACTGCAATGTTTCAGTAAATTAAATTATTGCATTTTTTGGTCAGAAAAATGCATAAAACGAGTTGAATGTTTTGTCAAGCACCAGGGTGTGAAAGAGCCTAGCCAGATATCTCAGAAGTAGAAAAAAATTTACAAAAACATGGCACAATGTATTTTTTAGAGGCCTAGGACTATGGCTTAGAAAAACATAGTTAGGGATTTTTTAACTTTTGAAATTAGTTTACTGTGTTTGCTGTTTCAAGAGACAGTTGTTGAGGCTGGGAGGCACAAAATATTACTACTGTGCTTTATTCTTCTGAAGTTTATGCCACAGACACTTGCCGCACACAAGCGGCGTCTTCATCTTGCACAGCAATACTTCAGCAAAACAAGACTTAGGAACTGACAGTGTGGTTTGTGATTAAAAAACACTAAACCCCACATTTTTGGCTAGCCTGGGAGCTTCAAAAGTTTACTGACCCATGAACTGAATGTTTTACAGGATCTTATGTTCTTCCAGCAGCATGTCCTGCTTCTGTTACATTCTCGAGTCTAAAATGCATATTTAGTAATTGGTCAATTTTGTATATAAAATGTATAGCGAACCTAATAAGAACCTTCCAGCTCACATCCTCCCAACAGGAATCCAGCCATTTCAAGAACTCAGCATGACAAAGCACTCCATTTACAGCAATTCCCTACAACATTCCTCCCTCCGTAATACTCACCATTCATTAGACTGTAGTGTAGGGGATTCATTCTGCGCTATGTGATATAAGGCACTCATTGCGTTCATATTAAACAAAGGAGGCTTCCTTTCCGCTACACACAAAAGAAAATAATTTTTATATAGGGAGATAGTCTCATGTTTTTGCTCTTTGTCAGTTTACATCCCTTTAAAAAGAAAACCACATCAGCAGAATCACTATTGCCTGAACGCGGAACCCCAAACCAACCCTACCCTGCAATCAGAGAGATATGTTGGCATATGTCCTATACCATTGCAGAAGATGAAAGCACTTTGAAGATCAAATGCCTTGTCCTCTCAAGCTTTTAAATTACGTGGTTTATCATAGTTGAGTTCTCTGACTCATTTTAATGTACTAAAATAGGAGTAAGTTAACAGTAAGCTCTATACTCGGTGTTTAGCCACTAAGCATTCGTGGGTTCACCCCCCTCCCCTTTTTTTTTTTCTGAAGCTACAGTTGCTAAAAAGCTAACAAATATTTAATTCTAGCAGGACAGCAGTGATGAAGAAAAAGCTGGTTACAAGAACCATCAGATCACACTTAACTGACTAAGCACATGGGCAGGAAGTCAGTAACAGGCCAACTCTTTATACTATTTTGAGACTTGCATTCTCTTTGGCTCTTCTCTCTCTTTCAAGCTTGTGTTACTCTTATAGACTGACACAGCATGAAAGCTTAATGAGGAAGGAGATGATCTCACTGTAACAACAAAATTGAAGCTTCATCAGAATGTTTATGGGGCAAACCTATGAAGCTCAGCCTCGCCATAAACATTCCAGAGAAGCTGGTCAGGCCACGAGGACGTTCCTACGCTAGTGAAAAATGTAACAGAAAACTTTCCTTCCTGAAAAAAAACAAACAAGGGAAAAATAATGCTAGTTTTCTTATTCTGCTTTTTAATTTCGAGTCGAATAATAGCAGTTAGCTATGTATCAGAGATCACCGTTCACTCATTGCTATCAGAGGACGGACCTAAGCCCTACAAATTCCTCAGAATGGGTAAATTGAGGAGTTAAGCCTTTCCTCAAATGTAGCGCTTTACCTTCTCTAATCTGTCAGATAACCAGTTGCCGCTATGGAAGATCAGACTGATTATCCATTAAACTACTTTAACGGACCCCTTAAAGTATTTAAACTGACTATTCTCTTTTTTCTCTTAACTCACCCAAATAAAATAAAAATCCTTAGGAAACACTGAAACCGAGCCCTCAATGAGGCCATTTCTAAGCCTAAGTAATAGTTTGAGAAGACTACCGCATGTCTCATTTTGCTGCCTTCTTCCCATGCTTATTCAAACCAACACAAATGAGATAACCACACCGACCCAGCCTACAACACTCTACCGCCCTGACCTAGTCTCACCTCCCACCAGGCTAAAAGCCGTAGATGAAGCCTAACGCTTCATATTGCAAAAAGGCAGCGTGCGGGAAGGCACCCGGGGGTGTGGTGGCCATGAGCTCACTGCATTCCTGGAGCGCCGCAGCCAGCCAAGTCTCCTTACTCCACTCGGAGCAGGATTCTGTCATGACAGTCACACCCCTGCAACTTGTTTTATATTGGCAACCAAAAAAAAAAAAAAATCATCTCTGCTCTGAAGAAAGAATCTATTTCATGTCCTGGAAGAAAATGAAGTTGACAGTTTGGAATGCCAGACAGCATTTTTAGCTAAACTGTGCAGTTCGCATGGATTAGCGTGTTCCTGAGAGCTCTCGCTGCCTGGTCGGGCTGCTCCTCCACTGAGGTCGGTTTGGAGTGCGGGCAATGAGATCTGACGGGGATGGTAGGACAGCCTCAGGTGTAACGAACACCACCGACCCTCACCATCCCAAGAAAAACTTACAGCTAAGTGCTTCTAGAGAGCTGGATCCTGACTGAAATCTGAGTAGTGCTGTGTGCTGTGTTGTGCTTCAGCGAGTGCTTTTTTGTTCCAAGAAAACACTACACGTTAAATTTAAACAGAATGCCATACGAACATAGTCCTTTTAAATTGACGTTTTGCTTTAAGGAGTCTGTTGTAATGGCAGTGCCATCATTTCTTTTGGGTTTGATTTATAGGTCACCACTTCAAAACTGGATTATTCCATATCTTTTTCTTTAAAAAAAAAGAGATTTTCCAGCCAAATCTATTCACAAGTGACAACATACACTGAATATAGCTTTGAAGCTGTCCACTTATCCAAAACTTCATTATTGCAGGACTTGTTAATGTATCTTAAATTTTCATGCAAACAATAGGAACTTATATCATTAAACATATTTTCACAGTGGTACTTTTAATGGTTCATTTCTAAAGCTGTTCAGCAAATAGACTGTTTTTCAGTTCAAAAGTTAACTGCCTCTCCCACAGAACGTGAACACCTTTAGTGATACAGCTTGGCTATTTTCTTTGTCTAAATAACTCTTTTTCTTCAGGTAATGAAAACATCGGTTCAATAAACATCAAATTGGAGACTTAGTCTTGAATTCTAGAGAGCACATTTAGCTCTTTCCTCTAAAACTCAAGTCCCAGAGAAACCAGGACAAGGAAGGAAGCACAGATCTTCTGCACTGTGATTCAGCTGAATAAGTTCTAGGTATTAAGTAACTACATTTTATAATTTTTCAAAGAAAATAACTTACCTAACTCAATACAGGTAATCCCAAGAGACCAAACATCTACCTTGCCATCATACTGCCCTTCATCCATGGCTAAAATCACTTCTGGGGCCATCCTAAAATAGGAAATTGGTGCTTATAAAATTGTGTGCAATGGAACACGTTATCATCATCAGTATTTCAATGAAACAGGCTGTTTCACTGATTTCAGCTACCGTAAACAAATCATTCCCCAAGGTATCAGGCATGAACATGGGATACTGGTAACAAAGACCAGGCACCCACACCAGTACAAGCCTACACAGAGGCTGCGCAATGGTCTCCTGTGCTTTGCCCAGCTCTCCATTTATAAGTATCACCACCTTCTTGCCCTCCCACGTTTCCAATAGTTTAGCTGGCTGGCCAACTCTGGTGAAATAGTTATAGCATGCAGTTGTGTAAACACCGCAGATTAGGTGTAAGAGATCAAAAGCATACAAGGGATCTGCAAAGGGTTTTGTTCAATGAACCTGGCCTTTCCTATGAAAGAAAAAACACTTCAGTTATTTCAACAACCAGACGCGGTGAGAACATACGAATTGTTAAAACCACTGGGGGGAGTGATTAAAATATATTACAGATGATTCAGTCCCACCTCTACCACTTAAAGCCAGGGTAAGTAGAACAATAAAATATTTTTGTTACTTTTTATGAACTACAAATACAAGGATTCACAATTTCTTCAAGTCAGAGCCTAATTACTATTTAATCCTTTTTTGCAAAGCACATTTTATCACTACCACAACCAGAAGATTGCAAAGCTAGCTCCAATAAAGCCCAAGTATATTAAATACCTAATAAACGATCCTTTTAATTCATAAAGCCAGATATGCGTAAAACTCTTGGCTTACCAATATGGCGTCCCCACAAATGAGTTGGCAGGAGATGCTATGGAAGCAGACCCAAAGTCAGCAAGTTTCACCTGTCCTGGCTCTGTCAGCAGGATGTTTCCTGCCTTGATATCTCTGGTTATAGAATACAAATGTCAGGATTATTTCTCTCCAAAAAAGAAAACCTTCTATATGACAGACTACAAAACACACCAGTATTCACATGCCCAAGCTGCAGAATACCCACATTTCCTCCAAATAAAAAAAAAATAAAAATCTTTACTCTTTAGGTTAATTGCTTAACATGGCCCTTGATCTTGGAATCTTGGAATCTAGTTTGTCTTAAATATCAACTTAAAATGGCACACCTGGATAAGCTTCACAGTTCAGCAAAACCTTCTGAACCAACTATGTCCTTTATAAGTCCTAATAATGTAACTTATTCAAAAATCCTTTATGCTACTAAAATGCAGCAGGTACTTCAAACACAAAGAACATTTGCATCCCATACTTACTGTGTGCTTCTCAACACGTGTGTTCATGTAAAACTAATTTTTCAAGTATTAGCGCTCCCCCCCGCCCCAGCAATCTTTGCCTTGCAGTTGCTACCAGCTATTTAGGTGAACTCAGCCTGCCTTGCTATTCGCTGCTTCAGGGAACAATCAGCATCGTATCAAGTATTGAAAAGCTTAGCAGATTCAAAGCGATTCTGCAGAAATTATGAACACCAGCTGTAAGAGACAGTGCATACATACAGATGCATAGCTTGCTAGTATTTGACTACTATGAATCACTAGTTTGGGAGCGTACGGACACTGCAAAAAGAAAATCTCTGCTTACAAGTATTACGTTTGGGATGAAGCGGATACATCAACAAGGTAAATTACCTGTAAGTGTGTGAGACAACAGAAATATAACCACTTACCTATGGATCATATTGTGAGAATGCAGGTATGCTAATCCTTGGAGAGCACCATGGGTAATTGCTGCTATTTCCACTTCTTGCAATGGCTTTTTATGAACTTAAGGAAAGAATTTATTTGAAACTCAATATTAAAGGAAACAATGCAGTTTACAGCATGCAAGTGAGTACTGTTAACAATGTAAACAGAGAGAAAATACTAAAACTTCATTTTTACTAGGTTCAGTATGAGAAGCAAATGTAAAAATAGTTCACAACATAGAGTACATTCTATAACCAGATGTAATCTTCTAACTGTAAACCAGCAGCTATTTACTATCAAAGAGACTACTTTGCAACCATAAACTACATCCCTGTCGGTTCTGTGACCATTCTCCCAAGTACCTATTTGAGCCTCGATATTCAATTTTCCATTAATGAAGCTAAATCCCAAACCCTAGAACTTTATGACAATTCGCACATGAATAAATAAACTGTAGCAATACAGATGACTCTCCAGCAGCTCAGCCTTTTGTCCTGAAATGCTTCCGGCAAGGAAAGGAGAGGAACAACTTACTGGCCACACATATATCTTCAAAGAAAGTTCACTTCAAGAAGCCTGATAGAAAAACGACCATTTAACAAAAGACCTCATCAAGCAAAACCCTAATACTGCTGCAGTGCTATTTTAGTCAATAGGCCTACAGTTGTTAGTAAGCATCAGGATCAACAGCAAGGGTTTTCAGAAATAAATCTTCAACTGTCATGACAGGAGAACCTAAAACTCAGAAGAAAATAAATAGCTCACTGACAACTTAAAAATAATATGGACCAACGAGAAACGAGGCACCTAGGAAAGCCGATATTCTACAGAAAAACAATTACAGCCATGCAAGAATTTGAAAAACTGCAACTGTTCACACATACTCTGGCCCCAAATAAAACTATGTACTCAAGGACAATTCTGTGATGCTGTAACCTCCTACTTCTGTACCATACCTCTGACTTTCAGTCAAATAAACATGCGTGACATACCTTCTAGTAAGTCTGATGCTGATCCTAAACAATATTCCATAACAAGCTGTATGGGAAGAAATCAAAGTAGTAGTTAGAAAATCTCTAATAGTAAATGCATCTTTTGTTTCTCCATAGAAATCTAGAAAACAAGTATTGCTTGGAACATAAGCCCCATCCTAGCACGGTCGCTCTGACCCCTCCCGCAAGGACAGCTCTCACTGGGATTAGCATGGCCCCCCTGCCTAAGATCCAAGCAACGCAACTTGTAAGGAAGGCAAAAGCATATTCATAACCAGTTATGTATTGTATTACATATCATATTTTATATGCACGTACTTAACAGGAACGCTAAATTGCACTTAAGCTTATCAGGGTATTAAAGGGCTATTTAGGGATTTACTTAAGATTTTGTCCCAGTCAGATTTCAAAAAAAAGAAACTAAAACTTTGTCCTACAGATTTAGTGAAGCTAATACATGAACAGTACTTACAATTTAGACTATTAGTTCAACAATACAATTTCTTTAGTATATTGTACTACAAAAATTTTGTCAATGAGAGGTGCTACATCACACTTTTCATTCGACAAAATGCTTCTTCTGCATAGCCGATTGCATCTATTCCTACACACACATTTTTATGCAAACAAACTCAAATAAACCAAATATAGGTTGGGGGCGGGGGAGGGTTGGGGTTTTTTGTTTGTTTAAATCAAATGTATGAAACCGGGTAGGAGATGACAGCCAGAGATAAAACCAGCTACTTGGTTTTGTCACCTAAACACACACACACACAAATGACAACAGAAGTAAACAGTATACAACAGAAGAATTTAGTTAAATAGCAGAAATATTAGCTGCTCAAAATATACTTTAATTACAATTATCAGTAGAGATTCTAATCTATTTCATTAAAATACAACTGAACACTTGCTTCTGGAACATATTCAATCAACCAGTAAAGTACCGAACCATTAATACTCAGTGGCATACAAAACGTGCTGTTAAATGACCTGCAAGTATCTAATAAAGTTGCCATACTTGCCTTCCAGTCAGTACAACTGAAATTCTCACCTTTCCTTACAGCAAGAAAAGTGATGGATAAATTTGGTGGGTGTGCCCGTCCCCCCATTGTTATTTATTTTAAATACCCATCCATTAAGCTAAATACACTAGAACAACAGCACAATCACCTTACTCTGCAAATGAAAGGGAAAATTTCCCCAAATCTGGTTTCCAAAAACTACAGTCAGTTTTGCTGAGCATCTGTAAGGGCCTTGGCTACTCTCATCTGAGTCTGTGCCATGCAAATGTTCAGGTGCCTCTTGAAAGCCAGCTGGAGATATTTTAAAGCGCCCTCAACCAAGGCAAGAGAAGTGCAGAGTGCAGCAGATGCTTACCCATGCTGTATGCTCCCGCAAATAGCAGCCTTTGTATTCTATACTGTTAGGGTGTTTTATTCTTTGGAGGAACTTGACTTCCTTAATAATATCCTGCCATTTCTGTAGAAAATAAAAGGAATAGAAAGACTTATGAAACTGTTAACAACAACCAAAAAAAAAGGTAAGTTAGTAGGTAATTTAATTATTTTAAGAGGCAAAACCATCTTAAGGTTCCAAACCAAAATAAATTCACATCAACACCATGATGTCCACAGCTTAAGTCCTCAAAAGATCTACAAAATAAGAAGTTGATTGATTAGGCTGTATGGGAAGAGTCTAAGGATCTCTCATCAATGTAATACTTGGTATTTATTTGTATGCATAGGACGCATACTGGTAAACACGTAATATCTGAGAAAGTCCTCAAAAAAGAAGCAATCCTTTTAAGGGTTACCATTTCTGTTGTCAAATCAAACATACATCCCAACCTGAAAGAGATGTGGACGATAAGTGTCCTTTGGCAGGATCAGCTGTCTCTCACTTAACTCTTCTAGATAGAAAGACCTAGTCCTACTAGTAACTGTATTACACTGGATGAGGCTCCATTTATCATCTGCCAAATATCTGACTACATTCTTGATAATGTTTCTCCGTTACCAGTTTAGTCTTTACAAGGAGCGATTTAAAACGAGTTACCTACTAGATAAGGGAATGGTTCTGCAGGAGTAAAAGTATAAACAGATAAAACAAAATGCAGGTTTATAAGAAGGGGAGCTCTGCCAGTGCAACTTCAAAGTAGAGAAGAGGCCAAAATGTTATTTTCCAGTGTGTGCCTAGGCACTGCTGCTACTCCGCTCGGAGGACATCACCAATTTGCTGCACATCCACACCTCCACTGGCAAGAAAGGCAAAAGCTTGTAAGTGCAACAGCGAAACTACAACTCCCGGAAAAAAGTTTTCAAAAACAAATGCAGTGGCTGAAACCATTTAAGTAGGCAGACGTCAACACGGTAGTGTTGACACTGAAAATGTTTTCGAGAAAGAGTATCAGTTCTGAAGTTAATCAGAAGTAGAGAAACCTCACTCAACACCAAAAGGTTCAAAAGCTGTTTTCTAGGTCCTGTTAATCTCTCAGCACACACTTCTTCAGGTCTATGTATGTGGCTAGGATTCACAGATGGACAGAGGTCCCATATACCCAAATGCTTTGGAAAACATGTAAAAAAACCCAAATCCTCCTCAATAAAAATTTTACGGTTAGAGAAACAAATGAAACCAGGGAACATGGTAGCCACAAACAAGGCAGCTTATTGACTAAGCATTTCTCAACACCAGAGACTTCACGAGAATGACATTAGTGCAGCTATACTAACATAAGCTCTCTCACTGACATCCTTGTTCCAGTAAAAGAACGACTCAGTTGCCTTTTACCTTCAGCCTCAAAGGCTTTGCGGTACTAAGCAATAAAAGCCAAACCAAGAAAGCACCACACTAAACTTCTATATTGGGAAGAGAGAGGTGATAGATCAGTCAAGACGCATTTGTGATTTCCTGCATAAAAAAAAGCTCCAAGATCACATTAAGAGCACAGTACTACATATTTCAAAAGTTTCTAACTTATTCTAAACATGCCCTTATTTTAGAGATTAATTGTTCCCACCAATGATAAAATCTTCTTATGAAACCAAAGTAAATACAAACAATACCAGAATGCCCTTAATCAATTTTCTTTACATAGGCTAGATCATAACTCTAGCAAACTTCTGAACAAAACAAATAAATATAGAAGTAAAATAGAAAGTGTTTTAATCCTGGTCTTATTACTTCTTCAAAATAAAGAAACATACGCATTGAAGACAAACAAAAGCTATTTCTGAAGCCTGCACAGTTTGTTTCATTCATGTGAATAGAGTATTTATAGCTCACAGTAATTAAAACAGTAGGACAAGTAGTAAGTACAAATTATTCTTTCATCAGTACACAGTTAAACAAGTCACCGCAGTGACAAAATAGAGACACGCATAGCAAATTTAACTATGAAGCTAGAATTTACGACTGCTGGAGAGACACTGCCACCTCTACCTCCTACACAGATACATACACACACAGAGAAAGGAAGGAATAGTTCAGCTCCTGGTAGCACAGATGATCAATACACAAAAGGCAGGAACAGAAAGCAATGAGTTGTTAGTCAAACTCATCAGAGCAAGACTGCTTCTAGGACTGGAATACAGAGAACGGAGGGAGGGAACCATAAATGCCTTGAGCAACACGGTTACAATAAATACTTCTGTTGAAAAATCATGCCATGATTTGATAGATATCATTTACCAGAAATAATACCAAATCAGCTGTTCATGTCATGTTGGGCTTTTCAAGAATCTGTATTAGCACTTAAACATTACAAGTATAAAATCAATTATCTCTGTTAAGCATCCTAGGGAAAAAACACACATCTGGGGTGGCCATGAAAACACTTAACGTTGAAATGTCAGAGGCCTACTTTTACAAACCCCTCTGCAAAGACTGCCTTAATCCCTAGCTCTGGCAGTTCTTCCGTAATTATGCTGCTGTTCAGATTTTTCACCCTCATTCATTCACTGCTGTTTTCCTTTTGTTTTAGCTCCTCATCAGCACAGTCATTCCAGGGAAGGATGCATTCTGCCTTACTACTTTGCACAAGCAAGATTCCCTCTGAATCTTTTTCACTACTGCATCCATTGCTATTATTCCTTTGTCCAGTGAGCAACATGGTTATTTTTAAAGGTATTTAAAATGGAGTGTTTAAGGGCAACAAGACATACTAACATACGAAACTACCATTTTTAATTTTCTTTTTTGCTTTCTACACGTTTATGTGGCCCCATAAAAGAGCCCTTTGTGTCCGAGAGCAGTGAGTCCTACCCATCTTTTCCAGGAGCAGATTAGGCAGAAATACACTGTGAACAGTAAACTAATTTGTTTTGTTTACACAGTATCCTCATTCATCTTTACAGTTATAGGAAAGATCTCTCTTGTTGTAATCCAAGCTAATTAAAATCACCCCATATAATAAGTATTTGCAGTAGTCTAGATTTAATAAGCAACATGTTCTACATACCTCATTGGACTGCTTCCCACTATATGACATTTTCTTGATGGCCACCACTTCATTGGTGCGCACATCACGTGCCTGTAACATGAAAACAGGATGCATCAGTTTCTTCAGATCATGATTTCCCATAAGATGTAAACCAAACATACTCACAACGAAGCAATGAAAAAATCTTTATCCATTAGTTAACTTTTGCAGAGAGCTAAACTAAAATAGCTTCCAAGGGGGGCAGCTGCTGCATCTATTAGAAATTTCCTTCCAAAGGTAAAGATCACCTCCTGTTTGTGAGACAGGGTACGACAATTTTCCGACCTCATCATCCAGCGAGTCTCTGCAGGAGTCAAGTACCGTCACTTCTAAACTAAAAATCATAGCTTATAAAAGCAGCTCTGATTCGAGTAGAATGGATTTTCCCTAAATCAGCTTCTCTCCCTGCCCAGGTCCTTTCCAGACCAAACAGAAGCAAGGCTCGGCCCTCTTGTTCCATCCCAAACACAAGCAAAGATGTCACAGGATGCCCAGGAGATCCAGACACCGGCAGCTTTCTCCCCACTGCTCCCACAAATTGGCTGTTGTGTCTTAAAGGCAGGCAGATGATAGAGAGACGGCAGCAGCAATCTCAGCGACCCATCCCAGATTCCCATTCTGACTTTCACTTTCTCAGCCCAATAATATTATTATTTACACCGCACAATAAATGTACACAGTTTTTCACACTTCAAAGGCAGACTTCCTGACTTCAGACAGCAACCGTCCAAGAGCAGACAAGAAGTTTTGGGTAATTTAGCACCAAAGCAATGGCTCATTCACCCTGGCAGGAGAAGAGGCAGCGCTGCTCCCCCTTGCAGGAAGGACGGCTCCAGGCAAGACCCCAGCCGCTCCTCCGCTAAGGATTTCAGTGGCAGGGGAGGGTGGTGGAGGAAAAGACCTCTGAGTCTCTCTGATAAGAATGATCAACTTGGATACGAAGCCAAACGATATAAATCAAAATAACGTGCACCACAGCATTCACTGATGACTGATGAAAATGCTGATTTTTAATACATTTGTACTATCAAGCACAGCCTATCAGAACATGGATTAATGAAGCACCAGGACTCTGCTTTTTGTAAAAAGGTTTTTCAGTCATGTTTTAATTCTGCTGTTCATTAAAGAGATTCCCAGAATTCCCTATCACTCTTTTATTTCAACCAGTTATGATAAGCTTGAACCAATACTATTTTTAGTTTTCTTTCTGTTTGAGAGGATCCTTCCTACTGTCTCACTGGTATTACAGTACCTCTGAGGTTGGGGAGGGATACGACCATTTTTGGTTTTTGCGACAAAAAAGGAAGAATAAAATGATCGATCTTTACTAATTAGAGACAATCTCTGAAACATTCAAATCAGTGAAAAACGGCAATAAAACAGGCAAGCAAAATACTAGAGTAGAGCAGAAGGAACACAGCTCTAACAAAAGAGAGTGGGTTATTCTTCTGCTCCATCTGCAGTGTTCCAGTGTAGTAGATTCCTTGTGTCAAGTGAAAGCTATTATTACACTGCAGAGCAGGGAGTAGGGTAAGGATAATACCAAAATGATTCAGAGGTGCCAGACTTGCAGTTTGTAAGAAACTAAAACCATGAGGTGAAGCAGCAAAATTCATGTCAATTATGAAAGGGAAAAAAAAAAAAAACCCCCAAACAAAACCCCAAAACTTTCTCCCACGACAGGATGCAAATCAGTGAAAAACGGCAATAAAACAGGCAAGCAAAATACTAGAGTAGAGCAGAAGGAACACAGCTCTAACAAAAGAGAGTGGGTTATTCTTCTGCTCCATCTGCAGTGTTCCAGTGTAGTAGATTCCTTGTGTCAAGTGAAAGCTATTATTACACTGCAGAGCAGGGAGTAGGGTAAGGATAATACCAAAATGATTCAGAGGTGCCAGACTTGCAGTTTGTAAGAAACTAAAACCATGAGGTGAAGCAGCAAAATTCATGTCAATTATGAAAGGGAAAAAAAAAAAAAACCCGCAAACAAAACCCCAAAACTTTCTGCCACGACAGGATGAAACAAACAAAGAAAGAGACAAGAGTGAACGCTCTTAGCCAGTTATTACGCAAGATAAATATATCACCCCTTCCTGGGATCACCGCTACAAGGAAAGAAAGGTAGGTACAACTAACAACGAAGGACTAAACTGCATTTTAAAAAAAGCAGAGGGAGATTTCAGGATTATATACATTTTTCTACTTGTTAATTACTCCCACATCAATTTATCATCAACATTTTTGGTCCAGGCTGCATGCAATGAAAGCAGACTGGTGGGGGGGGTGCTATGTATTCGAAAACCCAAGCAAGCAACCCCTGCTCACGTTTGCCGAACACCTGCAGTCCTTCACTGCTGCGGTGGGGCTGAGCGAGGACCATCACGGCTGACACCCCGTGAACGTTACAACCACGGAGTTTAATTTGCTTTTTTAGTTCCTTGTGATCTTGAATAATTGAAAAAAGACAGTTTCCCTGAGAAAAGTCATGAAGATGTTACAAAGCCAGCTAACTTAAACAATCCAAACGAACGAGGCCTGGTTTATGGCAGACATTTATGCGCATATATCCTGCTTTCCTCCGACAACTCCATACAAAGGATCGACATCTGGTGACCAGAGTAACTTCAGCAGCGATACAAGCAAAGCACGAGCAAAGAAAAGGTGGAGTATGTCATCAGCTTTGGTAGTACGCTTTTAAGCAGTTATTAACTACAAGCCAATATTACACTGATTAGAGAAAGTTTAATTGTTTGCATTAGCAGAATCAAAATCTTGTTAAAGAAACTGAAGAGAAGTTTTTTCCCTAGCTTTACAGAGGAATAAAGGACCCAAGATATACACTCCTCTACCTTAGTTCTTTATGCTTACTTAATTTACACTAAATTTCTCCCTCCACGTCTTTCTCATCTTTTGCGCTTCTGTTTGAGGGATCGAGTACATTACATGAAACAGTTTCAGATTCAAGGTCTTAGACCTGGTACTAGTAAAAAGGTACCATAACACAACACAGAACTTCCAGGTTAAAGCTTCGTAACACAGAAATAGAAACAGCTATCTTCTTTCTTGGAAATTCTCTCTGACTTGAGAAAAATAGAGCCCCCAAATGGGTTGGAGTAGTGCGATGCACTGCTTACACTTGTCTTTTTTGCAAGTGCCAAATTAGACGTACTTTCTGTCAAAGAAGCACAATCCAAACGCTGTCAAGTAATGGCGCTCTTTAGTGAATAAATACCAACCTATAATGAATTGGTAGTCTAAAATCGGGGGAAAAAAGAGAAAGAAGGGCCTAGAAATTAATGACCTCTTACTTTCAGTCTCCCTGAAGAAGGAGCAATAGGCAATCAGCCCGTACCACAACTACAAAGTTCAGGCAGTCTACCAATGCCAGGAGGGCAGGGCAGCTTCTTGCTGATGTTTGGGAATGCTGTTAGCGTACAGCTTGCAGGTTACCTCTGGCTGCGTATGCCGGTTTTCCATACCTGTGTGGGTCATGCACGCCTCTAGAAGATACAGCATTCCTGAAAAACTTCAATAACACTTCCACATAGCAGGAAGACAGATTTGTCAGTTCCCTCCTTCTGTATCCACCAAAGTGAGTAAATGAGATGAAGCAAAGGCTGCAGGTGAGTACTGTTTCGTTAGAAAACACTTCCTCCCCCAGATCTCTTCCCAGACAGTGGCAGCTCATAGTTTTAACCAGGGAACAAAATTAAGAAGCTTTTCCTAATTAGTTCATCTGTGCTGCATTAAATTTCTGCTGGAAGGTTCCCAACATGGTCTGCTTCAATTATTAACAATGAATAGGCATCTCATAAAATACTGACACAAATGGTTTTCTGAAGGAAAATTGGCAGGTTTGGCCACACCTCCTATAATTATAAATGTGAAAAGGTTTTCTGAGGAAAATGGTTTTTTAATGAAGGTCTCACAGTATGCACTTTGGTTAACCTACAGCAACCTGCAAATGAGGTTACCGTGAGACATCCCACCTCCAGCTGAGGTATACAAGCAGCCTGGGAAAAATTCTGCTGTCCAGACGTTTGCGTCAAGAAAGTTTTATGCAGATGAATACTGGGATTCTTGCCTGCAGTAGGGAAGGATGTGACAGGACAAGTGATAACAAAAGCACCAACATTCAGGTGTCAAACACAAAGAATGGCTTTAAGGGAGCCTGGGGGTATGCACAAAGGGAGAGAGAACTCAATTTCTCTCAGGGGACAAGACACGATAAGGAGACGATCAGACCAAGAGAACTGCATTGCCAGTCAGAATCGGTGGAGCAGAAGTCCACGTTTTAATTTGCAGATAAACCCCTCCTTGCAGCATAACGATGTACCTAAAAGCACCGGGCAAGGGCCACGTTTCCATTTTTTCTTTTCAGTTTGTATGCAAACACCTTACAGATACTGCGAGTCTGTGAACGGACTGAGACTGTACAGACAGACGAGAAAACATCTCTGCCCCGAACAGCATATAAAAAAATTCACAGTAGTTTCTTTTTCTCAATACGTTCAAAAAAGTCTACGCCCACAGTTTAAAGGTAAAAAGAGACACAGCTAAAATTCACAAATCACAGAGCTACTTACAAAATAAACTGCTCCGAAGCTTCCATGGCCAATCTCTCGGAGATCTGTGAAGAGCTTTTCTGGATCTTCTTTGAAGAAGAGCTCTGCAATTTCTGGGTCCTTCAGGCTGCCCGCTCGGCTGGTTGATGGCATCCTGCTGGGCAGTTAGCCGACCGACTATCTGGGTTTAAAGTGCTGCCTCAACCCTTGGTTCATCTGTATGAATGGAGCCTCTTCAGCATGGATTACTGCAAGAAAAAGATTGCAATCCTTCACTGATTATCCTCTTCTCAAAGAGCCAGAAACAAAGCTACAGCGGAGCAGCTTCCACTTCTTCCAGAGCAAGCATCCCTGTTGCGTGAAGCCACGCGACCTATCTGCTGGGATAATGTCACAGCCCCACTGCGACAGCAGTCAAGCGTTTCCACAGAGCGCAAACCAAAATCAAACCACAACATGGGACAGATTCCTTGCTCCAGCATCTGCTCAGTCACCTGCACAGCGGTCAACAGAATCTCTCTGACCTACAGCGACAACCAGTTTGTCACGAGCGAGCCCGTACTACCTTGAGAAGTTACACGCGCCATGTCTTAAAGTATTGTTTGGACTTTGTGAAGTGGGTGACGCAATTGCATATACGTGTCATGGTCTTTGCAAGACAAGATATATGGTACAAGTGTGACGTGTACGAACCACCACTGCTATTTACTAATCCGTATTTATATTTTTTAAATGCAGTTCAGCATTTTTTTCTTCTGCAATTGTACTCCAGTTAAGAAGCAGCCAGGCATCAGTTTTTACTCATTTCAGCAAGCACGTGGAGAATTCTCTAAAGCTTCTCCTTCCACAACTAAGTCATGGTCCTTTTCGGTTTTTTCTCTTATCTAAATTCAAGATCTCCATCTTAAACTGCCTGCTTTTCAGAGTCTTACTTGCAACCCCCTTCTCTAGAGGAGCAGCATCCAGAACAGCAGATACCCAGTTCTGCACACAACGCATGTCTTTCTACTCTACTTCAGCAGATGCAAACACACATTTAATTGTGACAGCACATGATACAGCCTTCTACAATAGCCCACTGGCAAACACTTTCTTCAGAGGAACTTGCAACTTCAGACGCCACTGGGAACGTATGAAATCCTTTCTGTTTGCACGGTGCCATTCACTCTCATTTACTCAAAGAGCGGCTTGGAATCTATCCAGAATAAAAATACACTTTCAAGTTGGGCTAAAATCTTACTGTATCTTTACAACAGGTGAAGTCAAACCACCATTACAAGTAAAATACACATTTTTTTTCCTCCTAAAGGAAGGGCCTGGATATTGGGATTTCCTCTCAATTCCCTGTAAATTGTCACCAATAAAAACAATTCTGTGTCACTGGCAAACAGCTAATCGCACAGCTCACTTCTTTCCAAAAATCCCTGTCTGGTCAAGACTTGTGGGTTTTTTTAATTCTTATTTCTTATCTCATATTTATTTTTAAAAAAAGTTTTATATCTTCATACTGGAAAAAAAAGACGATAAACCTGAGTTTAACCAATGTGTCAGAAGGCCCTATCCCCGTCCATTTTTCCTCCTTTTCTTGACACTAACTCCACCTTTCTCCAGGCCTCTAGATCATCAATGAATCATTTGTTTTCCCCTCCCTGCGGAGCAATTCCTACAAGGATGGAAAAAGACATACTCCTGCATGCGTATGCTCAGTGGTACTCTTCTCTAGACAGTTGCAGCATGTGGAAGTGCCAAGACTGCCGGCTCCTTGTTAGTTCAGATAACTGCTAGCATCGCTACAAGGAGAGCACGATTCTGCGAGAGACAGCCACGACATACCTAGTTGTAAAGTCTGCGAGAGTCTCCAGTTTTTCTGTTGAAGACATGCGTGGGAGAGAGAACGCAGGGAAGGGAAGCGAAATCCAGCATTTTCATAGCTTTCCTCCAAGCAGTCAGCATTCAAAAAGATTTATAATGCAACCCAAAACGTGTTTCCATGATAGCCCACTCTCAGGGGCTAAGGGAAAACCGACATTCAAATCCCAGTGGTGGACCAAGTATAAAAACATATATATATATATGTGTATACACACACATACACAGAAAATAAGCAGCTGTTCACAACTCTGCTATACTGCACTGGTGAGCACGCACACAAACATTTTGTATTGATGCAGGGTCATTAGAGGAACCTTCGCAGCAGAGGGCATCAGCACACGACATGCCCGGCTGCCAACGAAGCCGAGCGAGATGCACAGGAACGGGACCGTGATATCTCCACCCTCCATTGCATAACGCAGTAACTAATACCATGTGGGAAGGGAAATAATTAGCTTCAATTCAGCCTGTACCTGAAGCATGCTACATTTATGAAGACTGGAAGAAAAGTTGGGTTTTTTTTGTTATTTTTCTTTCTTTCTTTCAAATAAGCCAACAATATTCCACTTGATTCCAGCTCTAACAAGCACATAACACTGAAAGACAACTGTTTCACATTTACAGCCCCCGACAAAACAATAGACAAAAAGCATCAGTCAGAAAAGCGAGAGAGGAGCTGGGGGAAGGGAGCTGATAACCAGAGCACACTCAGTATTATTGAAGGAATGTTTCTTGGATCGACGGTAATGATGTCATGTTCCATCTTTTAAGAAGCATCAGATTCTTACAAAAAGGACATTGTTGTTCAAAAGCAACTGCTGCAAACCCAGAATGCCCTTTTCC